ACATTTTCTAGCTGGCTAGTATTCCATATCTTAATCTGAGCCCTCTGGTGTAAGTCTGTGCGTTGTTATCTAATACTTAAAAAAACAAGGACTCATTTTGAGCATCATAGGCGAGATGTGTTTCTCAAAGTTTACTTTATTTCTCCATCTATTCTAAAGATTTGTAGTCAGGTAAATTTACTTCTTTATTTACTTTTCTCTTTCACTCTCCGAGTTTTTCTTTTAATGTACACGACCTTGACTTAAATTTGATATTCCACTTGGCCTGGCACCGTTTCGACTGAAAGTGGGACTGTTCCTTAGCTCCCATACTCTCTGCTATAAAAAAGCCTAACATCCTTCAAAGTGAAGAGCCATTAGCCATATACTCTTCCTCTAAAGTAAAATAAAGTGGCGAGTTTATTAAGCCCAGTAATATTCAGCACTTATATCCGTCGCAATTACATTACATGAACATCTGGCTAGGAGTAGCACGTATCAGTCTCATATTTTAATGCTGCATAAACATGACTACTTAGATTTAAGTTAGCTTAACAGAATATGGTGTATATGCTTGCATATATTCTACGATATTCACTTTTATATATCTGTGCCTTTCTTCTTCAACTAGAATACCAGGACGAGAGATCGACAAATTAGTCCAGCTAAATGAACCATGCATTCGGGTAAGTCACATCTCCAAATCTGATAATTATCTTATTGTCATATATCCGGACCCATTTTCATCTGGAGTAAACAGTTTATGGTTGATAAAACATTTTAACTTTCCTGGATGTATAATGCATACGATACGCTACGATACAGACTAAATAGACCTGAAAGTATTATCTTTGCGTTTTTACATCAGCCATTTATTTGTTCATTCATTTATGCAACACTCCTCACGTCCTGCATTTATTTACTCGGTACAAGCCAATTATGCACTTTTTCGATTATTTCAGCGTTCCTAATTTTTCCATAACTGATTTGATGGGTTTGCTTGGCCTTCAGTGTGGTCTTGACTTTACCTTAGCTTTAGTTAGAAAATCTGGTTATATATTCACACCTAGTGATCGCATGCGACCAGGCGAATTTTTACTCCAGAATCCGTAATTAAATGATTTCTCTAACTGGGGAAAACAGCTATCGATATCTTTATGGTGTCTTAAAAGCATAGAAATATTCATGCATTGGACATCTGGATGAATTCCTCGGATTATTTCTTCTACTTTTTGACTTCTTTTTATTTGACACTATTGTAATTCAGTTAAGGCAAAAGACTACGGAAACTCTTTTTCATCGGATCTGCTCAGATTGCTTTCATTTGCTAGTGTTTATTGCCTCTTCCGACTCTTATGTGATGTGCCGCTGTTGGTGTTCATTTTTATCATCCATAATCCAGATATATCACATATGGCTTGAGAACATCATAGACTTTACCTCGCAAATAAATTGTTTGGCCTTGTTTTCGCAACTCGTTCATATTGGTAGGAAGACTTAGAGGAACGCACCTAGTCCGGAGTTCATTGTATGCATCATCATTTACAGAGTAGGACCGTGGACGTGATACATTCCCAGACGTTTCGCCGGCATCGTCAGTGAGTCTCGCCATTCATAGCACCATATCACAACTCGTCAAAGGGACAAGTGAAGCCTATCCCTTGATCAAACGTGTGCTAAACACTTGTGGTATCTCCCCTTCTGCCCTGGCCTATTCACATTTCCTATATCCTCCTATCATGCCTTCCATGTCACACTTTCTACCGTGCTTATTTTGATGTAGTGTGGTGTGCTCCTTCGAGCGGCATTCATGAAAATTTTTACACTACACACAGTTGTTATCACCCCCTTCACCCTTGTTCTGAGAATGTTGACCAGAGTCTGTCATATTGTTACGTATTGTTACGGGAAGCACAAGGGTGAATGAGGTGATAACGACTGTGTTGAGTGTGAAGGGTTCTCATGAATGCCGCTCGAAGGAGCACACTACACTACATTAAAAATAAGCACGGTAAAAATTGTGACAGGGAAGACGTGATAGGAGGATATAGGAAATGTGAATAGGCCCGGGCAGAAGGGGAGATACCACAGCTGCTTAGAACACATTTGGTCAAATGATGGGCTTCACTTGTCTCTTTGACGAGTTGTAATATGGTGCTACGAATGGCGAGACTCACTGACGATGCCGGCGAAACGACTGATAATGTACCATGTCCACGGTCTTACTCTGGAAATGATGATGCATACAATGGACTCTGGACTAGGTGCGTTCCTCAAAGTCTTCTTACCAATATGATCAAGTTACGAAAACAAGGTCAAACAACTTCTATACAACGAAAGGAGACTGCGACCACA